AAGTATCTTATTTCATCGAATTAAGATTGAAATTTTTGAAGATTGGCTAACAGTAAATACAAATTGTCCGTCCCATGTAGGAATTTATCAGTGATAAACAAATGTTGATCAACGTGATTATGAAAGAAATCGCAGTGCAAGCGGTCGATAAAGTAACTTTATTGTAAAACGAAGCGAAGCGAATGAAATCATTGAAACGTTTCAGCGAATTGTCTCATTTGCGTGCCGCTTAACTGTTTACAACATCGAAATAAATTAAAACTGTATTCGATAATTAAATGGACCGAAACGAAGACGAATAGTAATTCGATTCTTTAATTACCGTATATGTTTAATTGAAAGAGCATCCTCGATTTTCGCACCGTTTTTAATTGCCTTCGCTGCGATTCGTCTAACCTGTGATATTTTCAGAATTCCCTGATCGGTAGAAATGTTCGTTCCGGCTATTTTTATACATGTTCGATGCAAAGGGTTTAATGTTCCGACAGTCTCTATTAGAACCGGTATTTATTCAGGGAATTTCCCTTCGCTCGTCCATCGGCCGGCTAACTGACAATCGACTGAAAAGTGCAAGTTGAATTTCCGCGAAAATTTTTTCCCCGGGCAGATATTATCGCGCATCCTGTGTTCGGCAACGTTGTCGAGCACTTTTTAATTAATTCGTCGCTTCTGCACGCGATGAAATTAATTTCACGTTCAAACACCGCTCGGGAAAATTTATTATCATAAAATATTTCCTCCGGACGGGCCGCCGGGCAAGTCATATTTTTTTCAGCAGGCAACACGCGGGTGTAAATTTAAACAATCGGCGGTCTTATAATTTACCGGCTCGTTTCTCCCGATCGTGTTAATTTGCTTCGATTCGAGTAGAAGGATTAAAAATATGGTCAACGAAGCGGCGACGTTCTTTAAAGAAGTTCGTATAGTAAGTCTAGTGGAAAATTATTTTCTGCTTCGAAAACCGATGTGCAACGGAAAATATTATTTTATTACTGTGTCATCTCCTCTGTTAACTGCTACCCATTGTTACTCCCTTTGTAGCATTTTAATGGAGTTTACACACACACACACACACACACACACACACAGAGAGAGAGAGAGAGAGAGAGAGAGAGAGAGAGAGAGCATTCTCAGACATACGGATAGGTGAAACATAAAATAGTGAAGCGATTAATAGAGGCTGCGAATATTGCAGTATCGATATCAGCTTATTAACATTATTTAATCCATTGCGCTATAAAAACGTGACAGATCTGTTATAAAGATTTCAAACTTTAAATCAAAATTAAATTCAGTGCTGAAGATCCACAGTTTATTTAAAATATACTATAATATATATATATATAATCATGTATTGTCAACAACGGTTATTAATACATTTCGAAATGTATTAATAAACACAGCTTACATAAACACACGGCATGTGCTGATCTATTCAAGCCAATGCTTCACTATTCTAATGCAATTACTATTCCTATACTGAATTTTTGTTATAACTTCTTAATAAAGCTCTATATGACCTATGTTTACATAACATTTTTTTCTTACTTTGTGCCATAGAATATACTGACAAAGTTTGAACATTAAAATCTGGGACACCCTGTATAATAACATATAATATATAATAACGCTGTAAGGATTAGCAGGTTATCATTTTTGCACGTTATTTATGTAATACAAATATAATATGATATCGTAGAAGTAATAACAAGTTAATACTACAAATTTTGCATAAAGGGCTATTTAATAATCGCGTATCACCGATGAGACTCGACATCGAGGAAACAGCAATAACACTTCCGAATCATTGACGCGCATATCAACGCGATTGAGAAATACAAAAGCACAACAGACATAATCCGTGCGAACGCAGAATCGACAAAGAATTGCTCATCACGGTTTAATAAATAAGGAATAACGCGTATTCCGGGGAATTGAGCGAACGCCGTGCAACGAAACAGCTGCCGTTTCGCGTGCCAATTATAACCGGCGTTAAAACGAATAATAAAATCGGCCGCGATGATTAATTAGACACCCGCCGATAACGAGTTCCCATGAAAAATACGGTTGCGGACGCTTTAACTGTGCGCGAATAATATTTTCGCGATATATTCGAATGGAAGCGAACGAGATTCGTCGTCGGTCCGTGCGCGGACAGAATACATTTAAAATCTAAATGGAGTGCGCGCGGGAGGCGGTGGCGCGAGATTCATCGCGTCCGCGCATAATTAGAGGCGAAAAACAGATAGCACCGGAAAGAGCGTTTAATGAGGATCGTGTTAGGATTTATGCTAAAACTCGATTTTACGAAATATTAAAGCCGGGCACGCGCGTGTTCCCGCGATCCGATTACTGGCTACCGATTTAGAAACAAGTGGAAATGTGACTATCGGTATTATTATCGATAATATCGAATTGTTGCCGATGTTTCGATATGCCGGAGATAGAATGAACGTGACGTATTAAATTCAAATAAAATCATTTTTAAATGTGTTTATTTTTTTGATATATTGTGGATAAATTTAAACTTTACGCAGCAGTGTTATTGTTATAATTATGATTCTACGTATAATATGATATTTTTATTCTAACATATGTAACATATTATTTTCATTGTGGCATATTAAACAAACTGAGTGTTACTAGGATTTTTAGAATACGAAAGGATTAAACCAATATGTTCTAAGATAAATTTTAACTTGTTAATTTCGGTTTAATTAATTATATGATTTTGATAATATATAATTTTTTGGAGTCGATATTCCGCACTTAACTTGCTAAGATGCCGATATATCGTTATCATGCCGATAATATTAACAATTTCATCGATAACCGATAGTCGCATCTCTAATTAGAGATGAAGAATATAGAGTTTTCTGTCAGCGACAGAAGTGCGGCTCTCTTGCCAGAAAAGAAATTCGACGATCCACCGAAAGAGATAACCGAACTGTTTCAACGAAACGTTACGACCTCCCGGTTACGAACAACCGGTTCTGAGATTTTGCAATCGAGGAAGATCTAAAATTCGGTTTTACGGTCTCGCGAACCGTCAACCGACGCTGCGTGCTCGGAGAAGTCCTCGAAGTCTTCGCAGATGGAGAACTGTTTCGCGATCTCAGTTTCCAGGCTTCCTTTAATTCTTGCAATTCGAACTGCTTCGCCAACAGGAATCTTTATTCCGTTTTATTTTTGCCCTCTGTCGCATGCGGCTTTTAAGGAAGTCGTAAAATCTTCGAGTTTACGAGTTTATAGGACTAGGAATAGCTTCAGATCTTCTAGAAGAAGAATGTTAGATTCTTCTTTCTTTATAAATCGATCAGAGATAATTTCTATAATACAGCTAATTTGCAGCTGAAAATGTCTCTACGAGTTATGCGATACATACATATATTTTCGTTCGGAACAAATGTACATTAGCCTTTTTCCAGAGAAGAAATTTTTACGACTTATTTCGCGAATAGCGACTAGACACGACCTCTTAAAATATTGCAGCAGCCTATGTAACATGAAATTATTATAATGAAGTCACGCATATGCAACAGCATGTCACAGTCGTATCACGCACGGCCAATTGTTTGTTGATCCGTTCTACTAATTAGATTGTTTAGCAAAGCACCGCAAGTGATCTATGGGTTTCGTGCATTTATGATAAAGATATATCCAATTGCATTACCAAACTATAAGCGCCGTTATTAAAATCATTAAAAGAAAGAACACGTTCTTGTAAGAGTAGCAAGCTTTGTGTACGATCAATATTAAAATTATTAAAAGAAAAGGTACGTTCTTGTAACTTCTACTTCTTATAATTAATGTAGGAAATGTGCATTTTGCTTCACGAAGGAATATTAAGCTACTGCGATACGGTACATGCAGTATATAAATAAAAAGTATGAACATTCTTTTAAGTTCTGTTCGTTACGTAATTGGTTTCGAAAATTTGCATTTTATAAAAAAATACACTACCAATCCATCTATACATCCAATATTAACATGATTAAAAGAAGAAGTATTATACTCTGTTGCCTCGACGCAATTAGTTCTTTACAATCGGTGTAGAAAACTTGTATCTTGCCTGGAGGAAGTATCATGGAACTGTACAGCGATTATCAATATTATGACAAAGAGGTATACAATGTATGCGGGAGCTTGTTCATTAGATCTACCGGAAAGTTCTGTCCGTTTTTGAATTGAAATATAACACAATTTTCATACATTTAATAATATTTATTGTAGAATATACTTTCCATCGTTACTTATGACTTCTTGCCAACGTGATGGCAACTTGTAAATGCCATTTTTAAAAAATGATTTATTTTTAGAGGCGAAGAACTCTACTAGCGCTTGGTTGACATCAGCTTCAGTTTTGAATTTTTTTCCTGTAAAAAGTTTTGCAAAGAGAGAAACAAGTGATAATCGGAGGGTGCTAGGTCTGGGGAGTATGGTGGATGTGACAGAATTTGCCAGCCTAGTTCTGCGATTTTCTGACGAGTCGCCAAAGCAGCTTGTGGCCTGGCATTATCATCGGTAGCCGTGTTTTCACGATCGCGTCTCACTTAATAATGACACGAGACATCTTTGTTTCAGTTTATTTAGGAGAGTACATGTGCGTAAATGCAACGATAAAGAGAGATAGTCATATATGTCTCAAATCAACATGTGCATATGGATTGAAACTTGAAGTGACACTATCGGACAGAACTTTCCGGTAGACCCAATATTATATTCTATTGCCTCGACGCAATTAGTTCTTTACAATCGGTGTAGAAAACATGTATTTTGCCTGGAGGAGGTATCATCGAACTATAAAGCGATTATCAATATTCTAACAAAGAGATATACAATGTATGCGGAAGCTTGTTATTTCGCGGAAAGCTCCCGCAATCTATTCGCAGAATCGACGGACAGTTGGATGACGTTTTTCGTCGGGCGTCGTTTTTCTACCGCGTTTTAGCTCCTTAAGGCGGCGGCCTCTAAAACAATATTATTCTTTGTGCTTCCAGGCTGCCTCGATGCATTACGGATCCTCGTGGGCGGTGGAATCTGACGAAGCGGGGAAATGTTTGCCTGAATTAAGTGTCACGCGCGGGACTCTCCGATGCCTGGCGTCGTCGGACAAAAACGGCTCGAAGACGTCGCGGAAATATCGTCGAATCGCCCTCGAGTAATCGTTGATTTCGTTCGCGCGTAGCAAGGCCATCGGTGTGTCGCGGGGATTTTGAGAAAATTCGTCAAGTCGCACGAAGAAATTGATGTCTCGGTTGGGAACGGGTTTGCTCGAGGAGACGAAAGAATCTCGCCGCTGCCATTTTGGATGGTTGCATGCCGCCTCTGCGATCCTGGCTAACGTTTTCCCGTTAAAACGTTGTTTGGTGTATTCGACGGGCGCCGGTATTCATGGGAATTGATCGGGGCTGGCATTGTCATGTAAAACGGCGGGCCAGCCATGTAAATTTGGCCAATCGACGAGCCGTAGGAACGTTTCGCGCGATCGGCCGATACCATGAAGCAGAGATCGAGGAGGCAGGATCGATTAAGTGGGCGACTTCCAGGACCAGTCCATTCGGCAACGGCGATCGCCGAAAATGTTAATCGACTGCTCGTGAATTGATGGTAAGCTCGATATCGACGCTTTAAATTTAAGCCTCGGCTTGGAAACAAAAATGGACAATTTGAGAAGATTATTATTATCATTTCGTACCTTGCAGCTCTTTTTATAGTTGACACTCGGCAACTATAAAAACGAGCCGCAAGACTCGAATAATCGTTTCTCCTCTCCCCAAATTATCTTTTCTTGTATACAAGCTAAGAGTCAATTACGGAAAATCTATTATACATTGAATTTAATTTTAATTTAGCTATATATATTTCTACTAATTATTTTAACCCTTTCGCTACGGCAGCTCCATCCGCGGAAGTACCGTCACCGAACGGAAATATGCGCAGTGCGCGTGGTTTCTGTATGTATGTTGTTCCAAGTCTTAAATAATAATAATAAAACAATCATTGCTCTAATGTAACAAGTATATTTACATTTTTAATTTAAAAAGACTTACAAAATTATAGGTAACGTAGGTATTTATATAAAAACAAAGCCTAACGATTAAATGTTTAATGTAATCAATAACGAGACGAAAATTATTAAAATATAATAATATGTAAAAACTAATAATATAATTCTGTGCGATATATTTGGAAGCAAGGATCTATACAAAGGCCAACATCGCAATCTTCGCACTCGTACCGCGAATCCGTTCTTTTATCATTTTTGCTACAAATTACACATCCGCGTCTTCTGTATACACTTCGTTTCGATGCCGCATATATGCGGCGCTCGGCGCGAAAGGGTTAATCTCTGGATAAAAATAATTTCGTATTGTTAGAATTAATGTTTCAAAAGCTACGAATGTTTTTACAGAAGCGGAAAACATGTTCGATCGAATAAACGTAATAACGAAGCATCTAAAAATTCGTGGAAGTATCCATTAGTTGCAATAGTTTCCTCGAAAGCTGTCCCGAGATCCGGAGTAGTGGAAAAACATGTCTGTATCATGAGCTCGGCTGCCTGGCATTGTCCTTGACAGCTGAAAATTTGTGTGGCCTGGCTTTATCGAAACGTGTTTACGCGAAATACGTTCCAACACGGTCGAGTCACGTAACTGGTACCGATAGTGGCGTCTTTCTAGTCAAAGACGGAACGAAACGTCGGGGGGAAAATGTTTAGCGGTACGATAAGGCCGAAAGGTTCGTACGTTCGTACATTTCTTTTTTTTTCGCCAGTTCGCGTATAAATCCAACCCCTTCGGATAAACGTTTTTCCCTTACGCTGCACGAGAAGAGTAAGAAGCTTAAAAATCTATTTCGAGATTCGTATATGCTAACGAACTACGACCAGTTTCTGGGTCGAGAAACTTTTACGACCGTCGGACCTTGTGTTGCTAACTTAAGTACCCACGATTTGAATTGGTTGATTCAAGAAGTCGCGACCTTTCTCGTACGAAACGTGCAGAGGGGCAACATTTTTCCACATTTCAGGGACGTTGATTAAACTCGTTGTGCGTCACGTTTCAAAGTAATGTCGACATTATCAAATTTGATCATATCTAAAAAAAAAACTGTCGAAACTGTAACTGTTGCATGAATCACGAAATTCAATTTCATATGTATAAAATGCGTTAAATTATATAAAATCGAAATACTAGGGGTCAGAAAAAATATTTTCGACCTCGAATTAAAGTGGTTCCGACTGCGAAGGGTTAACTCTTTGTACTCGAGTGATGACTTCGAGGCACCACTAAGATTATTGTATCACGTTCCAAGATAATTTTGATATCAACAAAGTTTAGACTTAAAAAATGGTTAAAAGCATAACTGTGGTACGAGTCACCGCAAGACTCAATTTCATATGCACAAAATGCACTTTGTCATATAAAATGGAAGTACTATAAGTCGGAAAAATTGGTTTAGATTTACAGTTAAAAAATGGCTTCGAGTGCAAAGGGTTAATAAGAACAGTTTTAAAACACGGTTGGGTTAATTCGACCCCGCATGGTTCGCGAAGGGTTGACTCGCGAGCGGAGTGAACGACGACAGCGAACGTGATAATTTCTGAATCGTAGCAATTTCCGCGATAGTTAGGGAATGTTTTTGAAATCGGTTCGAAGTTGAAATCCTTCGAAAATTTCCGGTTACGAGAAAGCGGTACAATTAATGCCGGTCTATGGAACGTGTAATATATAAATCACACGTTCGATAACCTACTAAGCACGTAGTTCTGCAAACAAGATATATTCTGTCTGCGCAAATATCAGTTGGATCGTGACTGACCGACTTAGTACGGAAATTATAGGGGTCCGGTCTCGCTCGCACGGTCGAGCAGGTACTACGAAAACTGGTAGAACGCAATCCCCGCAAATTCCGCCGGCCGTTTCATAGTCAAAACATTACCCTTGGATTTCATTTAATGAAAAAACCCGGGACAGAGCGATCGCTCGGTCTCCGTCGCCCTTACTTTATCCACCGAGCCCTCCGCGAATTCCGGAAAATTCGGTCGAAATTAAAATCAAGCTTATGGGATTTTCACGTCGAGGAGATGCGGGGAACTCTCTCCGGAGAATCCATGTTTGGAACGCTATGCTGGCAGACTGTTTGCAATAACATACGGTAAACCGCATTAATATTCGGATATATTTTAAAACGATACAACGTTTTTCATATTGAATACGATTAAGCTCGATGTTATTTTCACAGTGACACGTTAATGTTGTTACTTAGTATGTAAATGAATCGATGCACAATAATACGTGTGCATATGTTTCCGTTGAACATTTTCAATAAATCTGGTACGAAGTATCGGATGCCCGATAAAAAAAATGTAAGTAATTCTACCGGAAAAAGATATGAGAACTTAACGCGTTGATTATCGTGCGGCCTAAAAAAAAGTCTGACAGAAGTCTTTACGCGGATTGAGAAACGAATTTTCGCCCTAATGTCTGTCGCTTTGTTTAGTATCCGAAGGGTGCTAGATGTTTGCAAGAGTAATCACTGTACTACGAATTTTTATGTAAAATAAAAATTGTCTATATCTCAGTTACAATAAACTAAAACAAAATAGTTTTGAAATTGTTTTCTTTCTTAATATGTCTAATATTAAATTGAATACAATGTAACAGCATTCTCATAGTCTTATGATCTTATGTATAGTAATGCCTCTCTATTTGACGCTCAGATTATCCATAAATATGGACAATTTGGGAAAAGGAGATACGATTATTCGATCCCCGCAGTTCATTTTTATATGAACACACTTTCATTTCCGCGATGCAATTACATCTACAGTAATGTCTCTCCAATTGACGCTCAGATTATCCACAAAATGGATCCTTGCAGCTCGTTTTTATAGTTATTGACAATCGGTAATTGTAAAAAACGAGCCGTAAGGCTCGAATAATCGCGTCTCCTCTTCCCAAATTGTCTATTATAGTGCACAATTTGGGCGACAATTAGGGAGACATTACTGTACTTACGGATTGACGATGTAATCAAATATTGTGCGATAAGATATCAATCTTCAGTCGAAACGTCAAATGGCCTGAACGACAAATCGAGCAAAAACGGCTTGGCACGGAACGTGTTATCGAAGACAACTCGNATAAACTAAAACAAAATAGTTTTGAAATTGTTTTCTTTCTTAATATGTCTAATATTAAATTGAATACAATGTAACAGCATTCTCATAGTCTTATGATCTTATGTATAGTAATGCCTCTCTATTTGACGCTCAGATTATCCATAAATATGGACAATTTGGGAAAAGGAGATACGATTATTCGATCCCCGCAGTTCATTTTTATATGAACACACTTTCATTTCCGCGATGCAATTACATCTACAGTAATGTCTCTCCAATTGACGCTCAGATTATCCACAAAATGGATCCTTGCAGCTCGTTTTTATAGTTATTGACAATCGGTAATTGTAAAAAACGAGCCGTAAGGCTCGAATAATCGCGTCTCCTCTTCCCAAATTGTCTATTATAGTGCACAATTTGGGCGACAATTAGGGAGACATTACTGTACTTACGGATTGACGATGTAATCAAATATTGTGCGATAAGATATCAATCTTCAGTCGAAACGTCAAATGGCCTGAACGACAAATCGAGCAAAAACGGCTTGGCACGGAACGTGTTATCGAAGACAACTCGTGCAACGAAGCACCGTTGTAACAATATCTTCGGGAGACATTTTTAGATCAATCTTTTTTTATTCGAGCATATGCAGCGAATTCTCCCTAATTGACCTTCGGATTGGTTATCGATTGTCAACAATTATGAAAACGAGCTGCAAGGCTCGAATAATCGTATCTCCTCTTTCTAAATTGTCCATTTTTGTGCACGATCTGAGCGTCAATTAGGGAGACATTACTGTATATTGTGTTCCATCTACACATTTTTCTAATAAATGCATAAAATCCAGGGTCTAGTTACGATCTTCATGTAAAACGCAAATTGTGTTTGCATTAATCAAAGATACACAGGCTACATAAACATTTCATCGTTCCTTCAATTATTTTATCGTATTACAAAATATTGCAACGCTATTATTAAATTCTATAAATATCTCCACTATATCTTCTATTCGATCTATCAAATTGCTTTAGTTCTAAAGTCTTCGAGTTGGGTTTTGCCCGAGGTTTGCCCGGCTGGCAGTGAAAGCGTTAATCAGGTGGGAAGCGAAATCTTGGGAAACGAGGGGTGGAATAGTAATTCCGCGAATTCATTGACGGTCAGATCGAAATTTGCTCCCGGTATGATAGGGACCGTTATCGCCTAGCCACGACAAAGAAAATGACGAAGCCGCGGCTTGTGTGCGCGTGTGCGAGCGGTGGGTCACGATCGTGCCTTCCGTGACTCGGCAACGTTAATTAGCGCTTTGCTACTCTTAAGTTCGAGCCTCGCCGGTTCTGCTGACCGCCGTCGCCGCCGTCGCCGTCGCGCCGCCCCGCGCCGCGGTTTTCCGCGTGGAAACTTCATACGACACCTTGAACGAACCCCGTAAATGCAATCGTAACGATTCCATTCGCGGAACGCTAACATTCGCTGGATAATCCTT